AAAAATAATTTTTAAGATTTTTCCATCAACCTGATAAAATTTTTAAAAATATTTCTTTACCTCAAGAGTTTTCAAAATCTTATTTGATTTCTTAAAAAGGTTCCGTCATCGAAAAAAAGTTTAATTATTTTTTAATTTTTTTGAAAATAGATCTAATTATTCTACCATTTGGGCCAAATTAAAAATATCTTCTTTTTTTAATTTCTAATTTTTTCACCATTTATGCTTATTTATAAATTCTTTTTATTTCTCTTTTTTTTTGGAAAGAAAATAATATGACAATTATTTTTCTTGACATGTCATTTAAATTCTTCCATCATTTAGGACAAATTTAAAGAAATTTCTCACTTAGAGATTTATTAAGAATTTACCATTTAAAATTTTTAAGATTTTTATCCTTGGATAATTATCAAATATTTTCAATCAAAAATTTTTTGTTTGGAAAAAAATATAATTATTTTTATTAAAATTTCATTTAAATTATTTTACCATTTGGGACAAATCTAGAGAAAATTTTCACTTAGAGATTTCTTAAAAATTTACTATTTAAAATTTCTAAAAATCTCGTCTTTAAGTAATAAGTATTTTTCTAAATTTTTATTAATATTTTTATCTTTTATTTTTTTATTTTTATCCCTTTTTGTTTGAAATAAATATTAATTATTGTTATTGAAATTATCTAAATTATTCCATCATTTGAGACAAATTTAGACAAAAATTTTCACTTAGGAATTTTATAGAAATTTATCATTTGAAATTTCTAAAAATTTCATCATTTGATAATTATTATTTATTCTTAAAAAATATTTTATTTTTTTTATCTTTTTTTAATTTAATTATGCAAAAAAAACTTATAAAATAAATATAATAACTAAATAAATAAAATAAAAAATACTAAAAATGGCTTAGCTTGGCCACTGAAATTCGGCTCGACTGCAGGCAGGAGAAACAACTGGAACAATACGGCTCGCGACTCGACTCGCTTCGAGCTAAGAACAGTGACGAGGGTCACAAACGGGTTGACGCTACCGGCTGAGTCACCTAAATGCAAAACGCACGGGTCCTGGCTGTAAAAAATGCCTAAAATGACGTCATTTTACGATAATATAAATGGCACACATTTTTTCTTTTTCCTTCAAATTTCTTTGCCTCTTTTCGTTTCCTCTCCCTCTCTCTCTCTAAAATTGATGAACCCCAACTGAATTTCATTGGAAACTAGAAAAATCTGTCGAAAACTAGAAAAAGCAGTTGGAAAAAATGAATGTCGCCGAAAAATTCACCGAAATTTAGAATTTTTCAAAAAATTTCCAGGAAAAAAACTACAAATTTTTTCCAAACAAAAATATTCTAAAAAACTCTAGGATTGCTTTTGCTTGTTGTGTTTTTTTATGGGTTTTCTGATCTTTCTGTCCCCCCCTTGTGTTTGATTCATTGTTGAATTTATAAGAAAAATTAGAAGAATTTTTTATTAATTATGACTACGCTGTTAACAAGATTTTTGCATTATCACATAAAATTTTATCTCATAAAAATTACATCCATCCACAACTTTGCAAATCACCCATTCACAGTAGCCTTTTTATTATTTCTATTATATTTTTTAACTTTTTTTTATTTAAATTATCTTATTATTATCTTAACACCTAATTTGATAATACAAAAACTAAAGATAAATTGAATAATCAAGAATAAACAAAAATCAAATAATTGAATATCCAACAAAAGATAAAACCAAATAAATAAATAAATAAAACATAAAATAATGAGTGATTGGGCTTAATAGTTTGAACTCTATTGAACCTGGTCCAATTGGTTCGAGCCCAATCCAATAATTTGGATTCTATTGGGCCAAGTCCGATTGATTTGAACCTGAACCAAATAAGGTGTCTTTGATATGATATATATTAAATATGAAAACTTATATTATTTTTAGGTTGAATACTTAATAACGAACGGTTCAAGATACACAATACATGAATAGAAATTTAGACATGGAATATGGCATGGTTGGGAGGCCATATGCAAATTACATGAACCATGATAATCAATAATAATGAGAAATTTTCTCCACGTATACGTCTTTATGCATCAGTAATCGTTTGAGGAGTGATTGCTTGCTTCTTTACCATGGCAACATCCAACATGTTTCTGTCCAGTAAGATGATAGTTGAAGACCTTCTGAATATTGCATACCACATTAAGGATGGTGCATACTCTAACGGCAGCAGCAGCTGCTGCTGCTGCTCCACCCTCCATAACTTTCCTTTTCTTCGTCTCCGAATCCTCTTTGGGTGCCTCAGACTGTGCTGTGGCCTTCTTCTCTGATTTTTGTACATTAACACCACTGCTATCATTTGCTGCTGGGTTCTCCACTGGTCCAATTATCAAATTGGTTGGAGTTGATGTATCAATCGAAGAAGGATCACAGGTACCATTCTTAGATTTTTCCAAATTCTCTAGGTTCTTCATGTGTTTTTTCCCTGACAAGTGTTTTGCATCGACATCATTGCTGTCACAGTTGATTTTGCAGACTTCAAACCATCAGGGGCGTAGGCACGTTATAAACTTGGGGTCATTTGGTTCTTTCTGATCTCCAACTCCTGACCATTTGCCACACCAGAAGCCCCAAATTCATCCGTCCACTTACATTGTCCCGAAATATTGCAGTAGTGGGATTAAATTTTACTTGCAACTTGTTTCTCACACACATCTTTTTTATTGCATTCAATGTTGCAAACCTCACTCTGCATTGGGTGAATCAGCTTGGTTTGATTTGATGTGCTGCTTCCTATTTCATCATTCACCATAGACTGATTCATCCAATCGACATTACTAGAAGAATTCAATGCCTACTGGGCCACTAAACAACCCATTGTTCAAGACCCCATATGACTTCTATATTGAAGTTTACTTAAATCATCAGATAGCCATAGCTTAAAGCTTCCAGGTTCCAGCTTACTTAGATCTGCAAGAAGTCCAAATTTCATGGGTAACACATCCAATAGAAAAGACCCAAACAAGACGAAAGAAAAAGTGGAAAAAGAAAAAGAAAAAAGTCCCACAGTATCTTGAAGAAGTAGAACAATAACTTATTGACAGATGGCATCAGGCTTCCTTGTGCTTTTCTTTTTCAATCTTCACTTGCACTTTTGTTTTGTTTTAGCTTGCTTGCTAGACCTGTCCTAATCCAAAAACCTTGATAGAAGCCCTTCCTCTTCGAAAGTTAACTTGAAGGCCAAAATAAACTTATTAATAAAAGTAGATAAAAACTGACCCGAAATTTAGCTCGATTAGCATTCAACAAATTTAAAATTCAAATTTCAGCACTTTTAATACTTTCCTCTATCCCATCCTACAGCCTCTTTGGTTAAAAAAAAAAAGTCGATAAAACGCTTAACAAGATACGAAATTTTCCTTGGAGTAGTTGCTGGTTAGTTCTTTCTACCAATTTACAAAGTAGTTAGCACCCAACTGCCAGTGCCAGCTACTAAAAGCAAGGGAAACACCTAGCCAACTCCATGTTGTTGCCAGCTCATGCCAAAAAAAACAACTAGTTAAATACTGCACTTTGGTCAATTCCAATCTGTAAAAATAGCTAATCTGGTTTGCTTAAGCACAACCAAAAGTTTAATATGGAAATTTGGTGCATTAGCAATATCATTGGCCTGCAGCTTCAGCATGGCATTAGCTAAGGCCGTTGCCTTGGTGGTCAAATAACATTGAATTCAATGTATGATCATGGTTTTTGCCCTTCTACTTCTCTCTGTTTAATTTCTGAATTGCAAAAGCAAAAAGGAGCAGTAATACATGAACATTGCTGCCAAGTATGTGTCAGATTAGGCCCATAATCAGCGCAGACCATCTAGGTCAATTTGAGTCAAATTACGGTTATGGAATTTAGGGACAAGTGATTAAACCTTAATTTGTGCATCCATGAATTGAACTAAGTTTTTGAATCGAGTTAGGCTTAATTGTCATTTGGTTGGATCGGAACTCTGATTAATATTCAATACGGTATATCTTTGGCTCTCTTGTCAAGGATTCAATCATAAAACACAATTGTGATGCAGTAGGAATCCATTGCATCACCCTACCATCTGATCCTTTCAACTGATATTGTGTTAGTACTGGTTTTATCGTGCTGAACTAATGACCTAAATTGGAGATGTGGTCTAATGTAATCTTTCCTTGAGGTATAGTCATGAACTCGGAGCTTATCACAATTGTTCACATATTTACCTTTAAAAGGTAATATTCACAGGTTTGAAGTTTAAATTTTAACATCTGCAATCATTTCTCTTATCACTGTACTAAGAAATTTTTTGGAAAAAAAAAATCATGAAGTTTTCCAACTGAACTTAGTCTTCGGACAAAAGGATGCATATAAAATTAAAATCACCAGGGAACTGACTACCAAGTATGAGAGAGAGAATGGAAGTGAGATGGGTTGTCATGCTTTATGATAGGTGACTAAACAATCACCTATGAGCTCACATGCCATCCTTGTGTACATTATAAAAATGCTTTTATCGTCCCCCAGGACTTCACACACCAATTCATTCTTCAATACCTCACTCATTTCTCCTTTGGTGCCAAGAAAAGATAATTGCCATAAAAAAACAGTTGCTTTTCATTGAAAAGTACATTCCAAATGTGACAAGGAGAAGCTCGAAATATTCAATTACAGCATCCAAGTTTCTAGTCATAACAGATCAACGAGCCAGAAATTTTGCAGCAATGGAATGCCAAGAAGCAAAAATAAGAATGAATAGACAATGCAAGAACAAAATGAAGTTAATGGAAAACTTGTAAGATTGAAGAATGCCTACTTCAACGACTAATAAGCAGCAGTACCTTTGGTGATTTCTTGAATTTGTAAAGAATGAATGAAATAATATGCAGAAACTTTATTTTTGTACTCTACTGCGTACATTCTTGAATCTTTATTGGAAAACCAAGACGATGAAAGGATTTGGAAACTCAATTAGAAATCAGCCCCGCTAATGCTTCGTGCTTGTGGCTGCTTCCAACCCACCAAGGCTTGAACCCCAAATGAACACGGTTTCTTCTTCAACAGGAGCAGGCAGATTAAGATCAAGAAAGTCACGAATTTCCGGAATTGGTTTTTGAATTACAATTGTTTGGTTTTCTTTTGCCTGAGCGATCAAATGAGATCTCTTGTGACCACCTAAGGCTTGGCCTGATGGGAAAACCTTGAGACAAATGGGGCACTCATGTCCTTTGCTCCTCTTATCATCACTGTCTGCAGCTAAATGAGCAATGGGAGTTTCATTGCCAATTGATTTGACAAGCTTGCTATCGGCTGTTGGGTCGGGGGAGTTTTCAGTTTCAATGCTATTTTCACTGCTGTCAATTCTTGAGGCAAAGCAGCCGTTGATTTTCTTATGGCTAGCTCTATGACCTCCGAGAGCTTGGTAAGAATGAAAGATTTTGCTACAAGTAGTGCATTCAAACTTGCTTCTCTTATGAGGATCCTTACAGAATTCAGAGTCAAGAACATCAGCTGTCAATTTGTTCACAGAACCTGATTTCAGTTCAGGATCATAAGAGCGACCTGGTAACTTTCTCCTGCTTGAATTCAACTTATTGGAGCCCAGTTGAGCTCTATTCACTCCTGTTTGTTCAGAAACTTCGCTTTCACTTTTATTCACTCTAATAACCCAAGTTTTTGACAGCTCAGAAGCGCAAAATTCTGATTGTACACCCCCAGTTTGGAAAGTCTCAGAATCCACTATAGCAGATTCTAACTTCTTCTCTTTCTGTTTTTTCAACTTCTGGACCTCCTTACCATTACAGATGGAAGCTTTAATCCCAATTTTAGCTTCCAAAAACACAGAGTTATTATCAGAAGATTCGGCAAAAGAATTCAAGCCAGCCCAATGACCCACATCTCTAGAAAGCATCATCAAGCATAAAGCAACCTCTTCTTGTTCTTGTTCAATTTCCGACATGAAAGAGGAAGCATGGTTACTTAAAGAGATTGAAGAATTTTCAGTGCACATGTACCTTGTTTTTCTTTTGGATCTCCTCCCTTTACTTGGAGCAGCAGTTTCATTGTCAGATTGGCTATCCATTACCAGCTTTTGGTTAGCACTGGTCCAAGAATCTTGCTCCTCCAAGCTATTATTGGAAGCTCTTTCTTTCTCTGAATGACACTTTATGTGACCAAACAATGCTTTCCAAGATTGGAAACCTTTGCCACACTCTTTGCAAACCTTGTCATGAACTGAAGTGTCTTCACTTGAATCTAATAGTCTCCGTGTCTTCTTGTGTTTCTTTCTGAGGATATAGCCACCATTAATCCCAGCTTCAAGGCGAGTTTCAGTGTCAGCATCATTGACAACATTTTTGACAGAAACAAGCTTTTTCTTTATGAGTTTGTCATCTGTTTCAGCTGAATTATTGTTGGTAGTCATGTGAGACCTCATATGTCCACCCAAGGATCTACCACAGGGGAAGCTCTTGCTACAAAACTTGCATACATGCTTGAATTCTTGATCTTCTTCCATTGAAAAATACAATTACACAGTTCACAAGAAAAAAAAATTGAAACTTTAAATCTGGTCAAAGAATTGGAAACAATGCTTCAATTCTTGATCTCATTACATCTAGAAGAAAAGCCAGATGGTAATGAAACAGAGCACTTTAAAGATAAAAATAGTAAGACCCCAGATCAGAAAATTAAGGTAGCAGCTGAAATTTGGTTGCACACATGTTCAAAATGACGGTTTTTCCTGACTAGAAAAGAAACCATCTCAGATTTCATAGAATTCTGAGGAAAGAACAAGATCTGGTAGCTCAAAAGAAAGTGAACCAAAGGCCTAACTGAATTAAGTATACTGGCCAGCTTTTTTTCTCTCTCAATATGGTTTCTTGGGGTAGTTGAAATATGAAGAAAAGATCAAAATTCTGAAGAGGTGGGGCACTTTTTTTTTTAGTTATTCTTTCACACACAGTCTCTCTCTCTCTCTCTCTCTCTCAAAACTTGATCATATTTGGAGGAGAAATCCATGCATGGAAGCAAAGATGAAAAAGAGGTAAACGAGAGAGGAAAGAGAGCAGCAGCATGTGTACTCAACTGAGAATCCTACGCCATCCCCAAAAATCCAGTGGGTGTAGTTTGTTCAGTCGAGCACCCCAATGGTTAAGGAACCTACTAAAAGAACAAATTATGCCCTGCCCCCCTAACTATTCTTTCCTTTGTCTTGCTATTAAGGTGTAGCTGGCCCCCCACTCTCTCTTTCTCTCACACACCCCCAGCCCCAAGTAAAAGCTTCTACTCTCCAGCCATTATCCTTTTTTCTACCTCCATTTTTCATACTTCATATAGAAAAGAAATTGAGTATTTCCTTTTTTTCTGCTGATGGGATCCCTAACCAAGGCCAAGGGCATGCATATTTGTTGTACTTTTGGGGTTAACATTGGATTCACAACCTCTAAATAAAAATTTTTTAGTAACATCTGAACTAATATGTTTATTTCAGCTAAGATAGTGCCATTTGGAGTGATTTGATTGGGTGGTGGGACGTGGGGAAAGGGTGTGTACTTTGAGAAGATTTCTTACAAATGAGTATACTTTCATCTGCTGCAGGAAGCCTAGTTATTATGTTGGCATATTTGTAAGCATCCCAAATGCTTCACAAAATAATGCCTCATCTTTATCTAATTTGTTTCAAAAAATTTATATTATTCCTCTGGAATCAAAGCCAAATAGGTCCATCTAAATTTCCTAGAAAGGATCAAATAATTTTTAACTTGAATTTGGAAAGATATAGCCGATCTTTTTCTGTAAGACTAATGGATTAACAGAAAAGAAAGAAATCTGGGCAGCCATTTTTGGAAAGAAAGAAAGTTATTTTTGGCTTCAGCAGGTAGTTTCGTTGAAATATCTGAATCTGGCACCCTCCATTTACTAAAATCTAATAAAGTTCTAGGAAATAAAATAATACAAGAAAGTAGTATTTCATATCATTTTCAATACCATCATGGTGATTTAATCACTGAAATAATCTTATTACTCAGTAATTTATAATCGCTTTATTTGATTAACAATTACAAAATAAAAATTATTGTGTTTGATATTATCAAATATCAAATATTATTTTATTTGTAAATACGAAGAAACTATACAATAATAATACTAGACATTCACATTTTGTTTGAAAGATCACTGCTAATCCCATATAACAGTACCCAAACAGAAATTAATTAGTACAAAGCTGTCTACAATTTCTGAGAGCTTTTGCATTTTAAAAAAACAAAAGGTGGGGTTTGGATGTTAGCTCATGTTCACCATTGCATTGTCAGGAATTGTCCAGCAAGACCAACTGTGAATGATGGAGTACAGCCGGCCTTTATTCATGATCATCAAAGCCGGCTTTAATTTCTTTGCACTAACCGTAACGTGAATGTCTTATTAGCAGCTGATAATCGCATCTTACTCGCCATAAATCCTTTCTTTTGTGCCCTTTTTGCCGGCATTTTAGTACAATGTCTAGCTGTAAGTTGTCTGAATTTTTTTTTTCTTCTTTGTTGTTTATGCACTGATAGATGAGGAGGTGTCAAATACAAAATGATTAGGGCAAAAAATGGAATATTATTTGCCTTTTGGCACAATATTAGTATTGTATAGATCATGTGCTTGCACATTATGAATGCCTATGCTGCTGTCCACTGAGTATTTGTACACTATAATGTTTGAACCAATTATTTTAACTGCTTCAGAATGTAACATACTCTCATTTAGATACTATTACTTTATTTAAACTGATAACTGCTGTAGACTATAAAGTACAGACATGTCTGAACTCCTTGCATACCTGTGTTTTAATAATTATCTTTTAAAAATCAACTAAATGTCTATCGTAAATATATATATTGATAATTATAATATATAAAAAATGTTTTTATTATTGTGTCAAACCATATTCACATTCTGTTTTTCTTAGAAGTTTTCATATCATCGTGCTCTTTATCATATCTTATTTGTAATGTGTATCTGTGTTCGTGCTCCATAGGCTATGGATTAAAAAGTATATCTATTTTTATAGGAACCAAATCATTGAATGCAGGTCTGCAGAAATAAAATGAAAAGGAGCAGAATATAATAAAAAACTGCAAAAAGTATATATCTAGTATTTTTATCAAAACAAAGAGGAAGTAGTTCTAAAAACAACTAAACATATGAAAAAGGTAAAAAAAAAAAAAAAAACTGTGTACAGATGATGCTGCAGTGAATTTGCTGATTGAAAAGAATTATCAAAAATGATTACAGATGTTGGTTTGCTTACTAAACCTGGCATCTGTTCAGTTTAATAATGAAATTAGTTTTATTTTCTTCAAATTGAGCTTAATTATTTTCTTATTGTTTTTTCAATCTAATTTAATTTCTCTGGCCTTTGATATACTAAATGCATAAGAAAAATAATCAATCTACTAATATTGAAGAAGCTTCAAAATGATTAATCACAGTACCTTTATAGATGCATTCTCTAACTTGCAAGCCAATTAAACAAATCATCTGACAACAACAAGATTGAATGAATTGATCAAAGCCATGTATGTGTATGTATTTGAAGTACATGTACGCGCAATTTATGGTAGCTTAATATGAAACATAACCCTCTTCAATCCCTTTTTCCAAGCATAAATTAAGATCAGACATGAAGCAGAAGGGGCAAGGGGTATGCAAATCCAAATAAATTTCTGATTTTAGATCTTATAGAACTTGTATATTGCCAGTCTTTATGGTGACACTGCATTAAATAATTTCTACACTCTTTACATTAATTTTATTTATATAGAGAAGAGAGATCAGTCAACAATATAAATTAATGTTATAAATCATAAATTGTTGCATGTAAGTTGTTATATATAATAATATTATATTTTGAAGCTATACTTTTATATATATACAATCTTATGACAACAAAATCAAAGAACTTAAAGTTATTTAATTTAATTGATTAGTACAATCAATTTTAAAAAATATCATTAAATTTGACATTCAAATTCTAACTTTTGTAATCATTTTTTCTATTTTAAATTATGACTAAAGAAAATGCAAAATCAAAGGTTGTGCAACCATTTTCTTCATAAATGAATATGGTTGGATATTAACAAGAAAATAAAATGAAAAAAAAAAAGAAAAAAGTTGATTGGAAGATGAAAAATGAAAAGATGATGCGGCCACGTGGCTTCCTTGGCTAGAAGAACCAAAAGCCTAAGAACTGGTTTAGATGTCTTAACTTTGGAACACAAGGTTTGAGTTACTTTGTTCATCACTGTTTATTATTAAAGCTTTTAAATGATTAGAATTAAGTTGCATCTATTATAAGCATATTAAGCTTTAATCAAATCATAGTGTTAACTGGGGCATCCTTTACTCCTACTGCTTTAGTGACAATTAAGTTAATAAATCCCTATAATTGAAACAAAACAATTAAATAATAAAATGGGGAAAGTGTAAAAGGGAATTTGTTGTGGAAAAGCGTTGAGAATCTTCTCCTTAGGCCTATAATTTCACTTTGTGAAACCTTTTTTATTAATGCTTAATAAATATCTAAATTGGAAATTAATTTACTAGTTAGTTTAGAGAACAAATTGTATTAATAGTTGTTATGTGAAAGAATTGGCATCAATCTTACTAATTTTTCCAACAATATACTTTTTTTTTTTTTAATCCATGAAATTCTACAAATCTTGAATTGCAAAATGAAATATAGTATATCTCATGTTTCATTTCCAAGATTCATATATGAAATTTAAATAATGTAGATGCACATACATGTACACATACACATAATATATATATATATATATATATTTCTCTTATGTATGGCCTAATCATAAAGGGGGCATGTGTGGCTTGAATAAGAGTCATAATGCTGAATGTGTTAGTGAGGAAGCTGGCTAACTCTAACCACCATTTCTTAGGGTATACTCAAGAGAGTCGATGGATTTGAGTTGAGAGAGAAAATTTTAGAAGCTTTGAAAGAACTAATTAAATTCATGTAGGACCAAACCACCTAGTTAGCTAATATAATTATAATTATAATTATAATTGTAACTAAGCAAAGAGATCTTTTTGCTTAGTTGCATATATATTCCTCTTATCCAATGCCATGTGGGTGTTCTAATTTTATCAAAGATTGGTTCATTAATAGCTTATAACTTCCATAGTCTTCATATATAGCAGCCCATTAATTTTATTAATGTGGGACAACAGTGTATGATAAAACCATAGAAATTATTGAACTTCAATTACAATTAAATTCCTTTTGGATTAATTTGAAGAAACTATGTTAGTGGAAACTGAAAACTCTTAAACTGATATTCAAACAAGTTACTTAACTGAACAGTCAAGTCAGTATTGTACTCAATTAATAGATCATATACCTTTAAAGGATATATGAAATTTTTGTATAAGATCTCAGTTTGAGGGATTAGAAAAATAAAATTATAAATGTTAAGAATTGAATGTCTATTTTACGCGAATCCACTTTCTCATAATAAAAACTCAGTTTTAGATGACGAGTAGTAATATAGACGAGTAATGCTAGATGGTCATGAAATAATATCCTATAATTAGATAAAATAGCATTAAATTAAATTATTAATTTCTCTAAAAAATCAAAGAATTTAAAGATTTATCATCCTCTGATTGTCCATCGAAACTCTTTGAGATTTTTTCATAATT